GGATAATCATTTGTCTTGACTTCGCCCTATCAACGGCGGACACCACGGGACACCACGGGACACAACGGGACACAAGCGGGACACTGGCGGGACACCGCGGGCCACCGGCCGCTGGAGGAGAAACAGCTGGTCCGGCCGCGGCCCAGCAACAGGAGGATTTCGGGACACAAGCGGGACACCGGCGGGACACCGCGGGCCACCGGCCGCCGGAGGAGAAACATTCGGTCTGGCCGCGGCCCAGCCACGGGAGGAGTTCCTCTCGCCCGCCCACGCAGCTTCGCCTCGCCCGCACGCACGCACAGCACGCACGACACGAACCCGAAACCGAAATCGATTTCCCGGCAGGGGGGGTCTCCGTTTCACGTCGAACTCACCCCCCAACCTCCGATGTATTCATATACCTATACGACCACCCTTCGGGTGATAAGGAGGTTCGGGGGGGGGAGGATGCAGCGTCTCACTCGATCGGTCTCACTATCCATCTCACTATCGGTCTCGCTCGATCGATCTCATTCGATCGATCTCACAGTCGATCTCACTCGATATATCTCATTACCGTGGGGTGGGGGGTGGCTGGCGGGGACAATAGCTGAGTTAGCGAGGCGGGCGAGCGAGGATCGAGGAGCGTGGCGGGAGCAGTCGGACTCACTATCGATCTCTCTGACCGTAGAGCGGACGATCTCGAGTCTAGGGGGAGAGCGGAGGGGGGCAACGGGTGGCACTCATCTACAAATCAGCAGCTTATTATTCAGGGGGACCTTATTGGTGAACTACTACACACAATGCACACACATTCGCCTCATCATCATCATCATCATCATCATCATCATCACCAACACCATCATTTTCATCGTCATCGGGACACTGTCGTCATCATCATCATCGTCATCATCATCAACGCAATCATCATCAGGTCATCATCATCATCCTCATCATCATCATCATCATCATCAACATGATCCCCATCATCATCTCATCATAGTCAGCAACATCATCATCATCATCATCATCATCATCATCATCATCATCATCATCACCACCATCATCATCATCATCATCATCATCATCATCATCATCGGCTCACAGCCTTCGTCATCATCACCATCAGCATCATCATCATCATCGGGACACCATCATGGTCACCATCATTGTCATCGTCAACATCATCAACAACATCGGGACACCATCATCATCATCATTTAATCATCATCATCATCATAATCAACAGCATCATCAACATCATCGGGACACCATCATCATCAGCAGCATCATCGTCACCAACATCATCATCAATGTCATCATCGGTACACCATCACCATCACCATCATCATCACCACCGTCATAATCATCATCATCATCGGGATACCATAATCATCATCAGCAGCATCATCATTACCAACATCATCATCAACAACGGGCAGAAACATCAACATCATCGTCATCTCATCATCATCAACAACATCATCAACATCACCAGCGGGACACAGCCATCGTCATCGTCACCATCAGCATCATCATCATCATCGGGACACCATCATGGTCACCACCGTTGTCATCGTCAACATCATCAACAACATCGGGACACCATCATCGGGTGATAAGGAGGTTCGGGGGGGGGGGAGGATGCAGCGTCTCACTCGATCGGTCTCACTATCCATCTCACTATCGGTCTCGCTCGATCGATCTCACTCGATCGATCTCACAATCGATATCACTCGATATATCCCATTCGCTCGGTCTCACAATTGATCTGATTATCGATCTCACAATCGATCTCACATTCGGTCTCACTATCGATCTCACTACCGATATCACAATCGATCTAACACTCAACGTCATCATCGTCATCATCACCAACACCAATCATTTCATCGTCATCGGGACACTGTCGTCATCATCATCATCATCGTCATCATCATCAACGCCATCATCATCAGGCCATCATCATCATCATCCCAATCATCATCTCATCATAGTCAGCAACATCATCATCATCATCGGTACACAGCCATCGTCATCATCACCATCAGCATCATCATCATCGGGAAACCATCATGGTCACCATCGTTGTCATCGTCAACATCATCCACAACATCGGGACACCATCATCATCATCATCATCAGCTCATTATCATCATCATCATCATCAACAGCATCATCAACATCATCGGGACACCATCATCATCAGCAGCATCGTCATCACCAACATCATCATCAATATCATCATCGGTACACCATCACCATCACCATCATCATCACCACCGTCATAATCATCATCATCATCGGGCTACCATAATCATCATCAGCAGCATCAGCATTACCAACATCATCATCAACAATAACGGGCAGAACATCAACATCATCGTCATCTCATCATCATCATCAATATCATCATCATCATCATCATCATTATCATCATCATCATCATCATCATCATCATCATCATCATCATCATCACCAGGACACCATCATCGTCATCATCATCACCATCAACACAACCATCATGATCATCATCAACATCATCATTATCGGGACACCGACGGGGCACCAGCGGGACACCGGCGGGACACCGCGGGGCCCCGGCCGCCCGGAAGGGAGACATTTGGTCCGGCCGCGCCTCAGCCACACGGGACACCAGCGGGACACCGGCGGGACACCGCGGCCCCCGGCCGCCCGGAAGGGAGACATTTGGTCCGGCCGCGCCTCAGCCACAGGAGACTTTCTCTCGCCCGCCCACGCAGCTTCGCCTCGCCCGCACGGCACGCACAAACACGAAACCGAAATCGATTTCCCGGTAGGGGGGCTCTCCGTTCCACTTCGATCTCATCCCCTCACCTCCGACATATATAAACATCTATGTCTATATCTATATATATGTGTATATATATATAGATATATAGCCTCCCGACAACAGGGCGCGCACCGAACCTGGACGCGCACCAGCTGGGAGGGCCAGCAAGGACAGGCGCAACGCGCGAGCCCGAGAAAACTCGGCCCCCGTCGCCCCTGGCCAATGGGAGAGCACCCTGCGCCGAAGCCAGCGCTCGACCCCGTCTCGAACGAGGCTCCGAACTTCGCTGGGGGAGCATTCACACGGCAAGATGCGCTCGCCACGGTCCGAGAGGAGGAGGCGAGGAGCCTCCGACTCCCAGCTAGGGCGACGAGCGCGAGAAGCACAGCGGAGAGGGGACCGAAACGCTGCCTCCGAGACCCCCTTTGTGACACGTCCGGCCACGGGTGGCCACGACCGCAGTCCCGAGGCGAGAGGGGGAGGCCAGACCACCCCGCAGCCAGCACGCTCAACTGACCCCCAGAGGACAGGTGGCGTCGAAGGTAGGATCACTGAGCCTGTCTTTCTCCTCATCTTCCTCCTCCACCTCTTCCTCCTCCTCCTCCTCCTCCTCCTCCTCCTCCTAGCAACACATCCTCCTCCTCCTCCTCCTCCTCCTCCTCCTCCTCCTCCTCCTCCTCCTCCTCCTCCTCCTCCTCCTCCTCCTCCTCCTCCTCCTCCTCCTCCTCCTCCTCCTCCGCTCGCCGCGCAGAGCGTCTTGGGCCACTCCGCGGGGCCCCCCTCGCCGTTGGCGTAGATCACCCCGTCTGGGTAGCCCAGGATGCACGCCACATCGAGAGGGTTCACCACCAGCCACTTGTTGCAGCAGTTGTAGGCCAGTGAGCGGCGCGAGGCCTCGCTCGCCGAGCTCCCACCACCTCGCCTGCAGACGACCTCAACTTCACGAGTGCGGAGTCCGCGTGGCCTACCACACCAGCTCCATGACTACCTGACGGCACAACGCCCGCGCGCCACAGAGTCCTCATCTTGAGCCCCCATCGCCCTCCCAAGGGCCAGAAACCGCCCCCGTCGCGCCAGCGTAATAACCGCCCGTTTCCATTCGAGGGCTCTGCGGGGGATTCCGACAGCAAACGCGTCGTGAGCACGGTTCCTGGCCGTCTGAAACTGCTACAGCCCGATCCTGCACGCGCGGGCTCTGACGGCCTTGGCCGCATCTGTCGACGACGCCAGGCATCCCGACTTCGCAGCGTGGATCAAGAAGCCGAGCGGGCAGGCACCCCTGGCAGAAGCCAACGCAGCATTAAACACTGCACCTGCATACTTGGCCACAGCCGCTATCCACTGGAACGAATAATCGCCCCTGGGGCCTCGGGGCACCACAAAATCGAATTCCCCCTTGAATATCTGGATGGGCCGAAGCAACAGGACCTGCGAAAGAGTGGTGGCATGGCTGCGCCCCGCGACTCCCCGGGCAAGACCTGCACAAGCGGCTGAGCGACCCAAGCCCGCGGGCGCGCCGAGGCTGCTGGCAGTAGCACGCCAACATCCAAGCTAACCGAATGGGGTATCCCACAGCAGCCGCCTCGGCCATCAAAGCAGACAGCACAACGAACTCATAACACTTAATCATGTCGATTGAAGCCGCCACACCGCGTTCGCCCATGCCAGGAGCCACCTCGGCCTCCAAATCGCGAGCGGAAGCGCAATCGAGACAAGAGCGCCCAGGCCCGAGCCCCATAAGATCTCGCCACGACGCTTCCCCTCCCACACCACCGAGACAGGCCGCCGAACCTTCCCACACGCCCAGATCCGGGACTGAATGAAGGCTATCAGCGTGTGCTCACCTGGTTTACCGCGCTTGGGGGGCGCGCTAACTCGGCGGCCGCGCGATCGCTCGGCCGCGTCCCAAGTCTTTCGCACTGCAGAAACAGACTGGGCCTCTGAGAAGGCTCGAGGGCCTCTGAGAATCCCCATCGCCTCCTGCCTTCCCCCCCCCCGCCCACCCCCGCGCCGCCAAATGTGTCGGGTCGGCAGTGCCCGAGAGGGAAGGAGGGTAAAGCCGACCGCCCGTGCAACCACGTGAGAAAGAGGAGGACGGCGACGTCGATGGCGACAAGGACGACGACGACAAGGGTGAAATGGAGCGCCTCTTGCTTGCGCGCGTTCCTTCCTCCGTGCCTGAAGTCTGCGGGCCGCCGCTGGGGGAGGCTCAGATGATGCCGATGCGGTTCGCCACGTCGAGCGCGTCGTAGTCCTGGCGGGCAGCGTGCACACGGCCGTTGGCTTGTTGAAGGGTTCTGCCCCTCCAAGAGCCCTAGAGGCCTTTGGGAGGCCTTGTTAGTGGCAGGATGGCTGCGAGGAAAGGAAAGGCACTCAGGCTTATTTCTCCCGGGTTCCCATAAACCTCGGAGGCTCCATCCTGGGCAAGCTGCCGAGCTGCGTCCAGCCGTGGCGACGGGGGGGACAACGAGGGCGACCCCTCCTCCCTCTCGCCTCCCCCTTTCGCCTCCCTCCCCCTCGCCCTGCCTCCCTCTGCGCGTCCCAGTCCTGGGTCAGGTGCACGTAAGCCTTCTTCCTGCCGTCGGGCCGGATGAGGGTGTTCACCTTGGCCCGTGGCGATGCCGCCCACTAGGAGAACCAGGGACGGAGGAGAAATGATGGAGAAGGGAGGGGGCGAGAGAAGAGAGCGGGAGGAGGAGAGGGCGAGTGGAGGGAGGAGCGAAGGAAGGAGAGGGAAAGGAAAGAACCGATTGACCTCAAGGGCACTGGCCAGTCCCCCGTAATATACATGTGCACATGTACGTGTGTATAGATAGACATACTCGAACTACGCGTGGGCTTCGCGCGCGCTGAGGTTCTAGTCACAGCTGCGCCACGTTTTACGGCTCTCGCTTTCGCTCGTCTGATCGGCGACATTGCGAAGTCCGCTCATGCGGGCATTGCAGAGTCTCCATCTGCCTCGGCCCCCTCGCCCCCCCACTCGTCATCGTCCTTCTCTTCCTCCTCCTCCTCCTCCTCCTCCTCCTCCTCCTCCTCCTCCTCCTTCTCTTCCTCCTCCTCATCCTGCTCATCCTCCTCCGCCCGCATGTTCCCAGAGAGGTCTCGGGGAACATATGGGATGATGTCTCCACCGCCCTGGCAGGGATCGTGGCCCAAAGGGAGCTCCACCTACGGCCCCAGAGGCAATGTTCGCATGGCGTCTTCACGCCCATTTCGGTACCCCCTCACACAGATCGCGCCCCATTGGGAGCTCCACCGACGGCTCCAACAGGAGGGGTCGCATGGCGTCCCTCTGCATAGTTCTACGCACCCTATGACGCGGATCGTACCCCGCAAGGATCTCCATCTATGGCGCCCATAGGCAATTTCGCATGGCGTTCCCACGCCCGTTTCGGCGCTACACGCGGATCGCGCTGCACAAGGAGCTCCACCTACGGCCTCACTGGGCGCACTCGCGCGGCGGCCACCCCCTTCACGCGGATCGCGCCCCACAGGGAGCTCAGCGTGCCTAGGCACGCCAGCTCCGCAGCGACCCCTTATCCGATCCACCCCGTGTCGAGGAGTATTTGAAGAGAGAGCCGCGCCCTGCGCTACACGCAGCTGCACAGTGGTGGGCCCTTCGCCAGGCCAAGCGGTTTCGCCTACATGCACGCATACATAATCACAGATATACAATCGTGCATGCATACAAACATGCGTAGTACACCCATATGTACACGTACGTACATACATACGTACATACATGCATATATACATACATACATACATACATACATACATACATACATACATACATACATACATACATACATACATATATACATACATACATGCATGCATGCATGCATGCATGCATGCATACATACATACATACAGCCATACATATATACATACCCACCTACCTACCTACCTACCTACCAACCTACCTACCTACCTACCTACATGCATGCATGCATGCATGCATGCATACATACATACATACACATTCATACACGCACATACGTACATACATACGTACATACATACATACATACATGCATACATGCATACATACATGCATACCTGCACACAGGCCTACATATCTACCTACCTGAATGCATGCATGCATGCATACATAAATACGTACATACATCCATACATACGGACAGACAGACAGACATGCATACATACACACATTCACATAGATATGTGTGTGCATACATCCGTCAATGCGGACATACATGCATACATACATACATACTTACATGCATACATACCCATACATACATACGTACGTACGTATATACGGTCATACGTGCATACGTGCATACGTACATACGTACATACGTACATACGTGCATGCGCGCATGTGTACGTACGTGCCTACATGCATACATACATACATACATACATACATACACATACACATACATGTACATACATGTACATATACGTACGTACATACATACATACAAACAAACAAACCAACAAACAAACAAACAAACATACATACATACATACATACATACATGCATACATACATACATACACACATACATACATACATGCATACATAGATACATGCATGCATGCATGCATGCATGCATACATACATACATACATACGTACGTGCACACGTACATACATACATACATACATACATACATACATACATACATACATGCCTGCATGCATGCATGCATGCATGCATGCATGCATGCATACATACATGCATGCATACATACATACATACATACATACATACATATAAAATTACATGTATGCATGCATAATGAATACATACAGCTAGAGGTATAGTTAAGGAAAACATGCGCACATCCATACTAGTGTGCATACACATAGAAACATCATCTGTGCCGATCAGGCGGCGCCCCAGGAACGGGTTGTGGACCAGAGGCTTCTTAGAAAGTCTCTCTGAGGTCCGTTTGGGGCCTCTTGGGGCTCTCCTGGGGGCCTCCTTGGGGGCCCCTTGGGGCCTCTTGGAGCCCCTTGGGAGCCTCTTCGGGCCTCCTGGGGGCCTGTGAGGATCAAGGCTCGAAACTTGAACTTGGTTTCCCCCTCTGGGACCACTCCCTGGCCTGTCTGGGGATCTCTCGGGCCATCATGGGGACCTCCTGAGCCGTCTTGGGCCCTTCTTGGGCCGTCCTAATGCTCGCTTGGGGGCCTACTGGGCCGTCTTGGGAGCATCCTGGACAGTCGTGGGCGCTGTGAAAGCCCAAGAGGCGAATGTGGCTTTCCACGAGGAATGGTACAGTTGTTGCTTCTTGAGGCCCTCTTTGGAGGGCCTCTTGGGGGCTTCTTGGGGCATCTGGGGGCGCCTTGGGGCGCCTGGGGGCTGTCGCGAAGTCGTCTGGGGCTGCCCTGGAGCTCTCGTGAAGCTTTTGGGGGGCTTCAGGGCCAGTCGCAAGCTGTCTTGGGTGGTCTTGGAAGATTCTCGGGGGTTTGAGACTTCGGGGGGTCGCCCCGGGAGGTCGCTGGGGAGAAGGGGCACCGAAATACAGGGGGGTCGGCCTGGGGCACCAGACCCAGGATCTCCCTTATGTGTATGTATATGTATATATATACATATATATATATGTGTGTATGCGTGTACCCCTTATTGTGTACGTAACCCTTACATGTACATATGAATATACACGGATGTGTATAGATATACACATATATATAATATGTGGATACATGTATGTATGTATGCATGCATGCATGTAAGTATGTATGTATGCGACCATGCATGTGAGTGTATGAACACATACATGAATGTGTGTGCGTACATGCGTAGGTGCGTGTACGCACATGAAATGTACATCTACCTACATACATCATGATGTGTAGACATATGTGCGTGCGCGTGGTTGGGAGAAATAGAGACAGGAAACGATTAAAACAACACATCACCAGCATCATCAGTATCATCAGCATCATCATCATCATCACCATCATCATCATCAGCATCATCATCATCATCATCAGCATCATCATCATCATCATCATCAGCATCATCATCATCCTCATCATCATCATCAACATCACCTTCATCAGCAGCATCATCATCGTTGTCACCATCACCATTACCATTACCATCACCATCACCATCACCATCAGTATGCCATCATCAGCAGCAGCATAAACATGATGTTCAGCTACCTAATCATCCTCATCACAATCGTCACTCCGCTCCTCGTCACCATCACAATCGCCTAACGTATCACCATCATTAAACAACAACAGCAACAACAACAAAACAACAACCACCGACATCTGCATCCTCATCCTCATCATCCGCTCCATCAAAATCAGCCTCATCCTCATCAGCGTCCTCATCCTCATCCTCTTCATCATCGTCATCAAACTGTTCATCATCATCGTCATCATCAGCATCAGCATCAGCATCATTATCAGCATCATCATCATGATCATCAGCATCAGCATCATCATCAGCATCATCACCAGCATCATCGTCAGCATCATCATGATCATCAGCAGCAGCAGCACAATCAGGATCATCATCATAAGCACCGTCATACTCCTCCTCATCAGCACGATCGTCATCAGCATCTCCATCACCACCACCACCACCACCATCACCACCAGCAGCAGCATCAGCATTAGCCTCATCAACCCAAGCATCCTCATCATGATCGTCCTCCCTTCCTCGCCATCATCACAATTGCTCATTTTACCAATAATCATCATCAACAACATCAACAACAAGGCCACCACAATCATCATCCTCATCATCCTCCCAATAATCATCATCATCATCATCATCATCATCATCATCATCATCATCGTCACCATCATCATCATCATCATCATCATCATCATCATCATCATCAGCATCATCATCATCATCACGATCATCATCATCATCATCATCATCATCATCATCATCATCATCATCATCATCATCATCATCATCATCATTATCGTAGTCATCATCACCATCAACATCTACAACAACATACTCATCATCAGCGTCGTCATCATCATCATCATCATCATCATCATCATTAGAAGCAGCAGCATCAGGATCCTCGTCATACGAGTCGTCACCATCATCATTATCCTCATCCTCCTCCTCATCCTCATCGTCGTCATAGTCATCATCATCAGCATCAGCACTAAAAAAATATTCATCGTCATCATCACTTCAATCATCATCAACAGGACGCTCCTCATTGCCATCACCACCACCACCATCATCATCAA